GAGCGAGTCGATTTGATGGACATCTATTTTTGGTATGTCATGAGGAAATGATTGGCTTGTTTAATGTCTTGCCTGCTTCCAGCGAGAGTGATGTCCACGTCTGGAAGTCGAATGAGAGTGACGTCGACGTTTGGAAGTCGACGAGAGTGACGTTGACGTTTGGAAGTCAACGAGAGTGATATCGACATTTGAGGGTCAACGAGGGTTGGGTTGTGGAGGATCTGCTGTAATTTGGTTGAGGGTTGGTCATGAAGGACTCAGGTGATCCCCGTGCTCCAGAGCTTTTCACTTTAACATCACAAATCATTGCCTGCCTAATGGTCCTAGGCATGTGACAATTGCGTCGTTTATCCGCCCAGCTGTTACGATTTGTATCTGATGGTGAGAGCAGCCACGATCTTTTGTTACGAGGGAGGGAGGTTTCTAGTGTTTGTAGATGCAAAGCTATATACGAGAAACATACGTCTCTATGGGAAGGCAAACACCCGGCTTCATTAACGGATCTTGCTACCGGTTTTGGGGGCCAAGCCGAAGGGCCAAATTACGCACAGTACTCTAATTTCCTTTTTGCCCCTGAAGTAGGTTACAATGCCCCACGCATCCCCCTGAAAATGTGCTCCTTTATTAAGGCTACGACTTTCTGTGACATGCGCGAGGCATGCAAAAAAATGGACACAATTTGGCGGCGTGTCACATTTTTCAACTTTTTTTTCTCATGGCATCAAGAGCAGAGAGTGACGCGGAGAGTGGGTGACAAGAGTGAAAACGAATTTCCTGTAATTGCGATGTGGAAATTCGTGTGCTTTTATAGGACTTCCAAATGTATTGTTATAATTAACACGCGCATGGGTCGGAGAACAATTTGGCCGCTCCTCCTTCCGAATGTCTTCCAAAATAATGTATGATCGGTGCAGCGTAGCCGTTCTAACGTTGGTACGTTGGTAACGTTGGAGCGATACACGACAATTATGCGTTTCTAAGGGGAAATTATATTATCCGGTCATGCGGTTACACCATTCACAAAGTTTTGGCGCTGCTAGGCCGCGCGAAACTTTGCATACCTGTAGATAATTGAATGACGGGTGTGAAGGTGTGGAAAGTTAGATGTACATGGTTAGGTGGCTTACCTGTGGCATATGGAAGTCAGGCCATGCCTACCGGCAAAGACAATTCCTGTAGAACCGTTCATACTGATGCGACAACATAAGATTAAAGGGAGCATCCCACCTTTCCACATCTCACTCATTCTTACATCAGACACGCACGATTTGATCAGTGAGATGAGTTTCTCGAAATCCTTTTGAAAAGCTCAGATTTTCGGTTTGAAGCAGCCGACCCTGCGGTTAGAACGCCCATTTGACTCCATGCTCACCACTATGAAAGAAAGAAATTTAATTTGCTGTGCGTTTTCAACGTGCGTTTTGTTTTGTGTGCAGCTTAATGTTTTTAAACTGCTTGTTTAATAAGTGCAATGAAAGCTTGAAACACTCTGTTGAGAAAAACGACATAAGAAGATACGGCTTTTATTTCGTGAATTCAACGAAGCGTTATGCTTTGTCTTTGCTCGCTCTCCTGTGGCGTTTGCCACAGTGGCTCTATTCGAGGCGCAATTTGGGTTTGGAAATGAGCGCATCACATGATCCGTATGACGCATTGGTTCAAAGGGCCGAGAAGCACATGTGACCAATGTGCTTCTCGGCGCTTGCCCGTGGGGTCAATCGCAAACGCTCCTTTATTCGCACCAATGAAGGTGTGCACGGTGGTTGTCATGACGACTGTTGCGAGTGCAGGGAATAAGCGTAACACTGTTGCAAAGTGTTGACAGTGCAACTTGGATTCGAAAATAGTGAGACTGACACGTTAACTATGTCTGGACAGTACTGCAGTGACACTACCCAATGTTATTATTAAACGTAACTAGTCCTGAGGTTCCACTATCATTTTTTTTTTTTTTTTTACTGCCCCTAGCTGGGACACTCCCTTTCAACGAAAACATGAATCTCTGAGATACTTTCTTAGACAATTAGCCAATTGAGGTTAGGAATACGATTAATGCCATTGAGATTGGGTCGGTATGAAGGTCGGATCGAAATAGAAACCAACCCACTTTTTCATTGAAGAATGTGCTTTAACAAGAAGTTTCTGATGGTTTTTGAACTTCTTGATCACGGGGACACTAACATACATCTCATTTGGGCCTCTTTTAGGTTAGAAGAGGTCACTGACCTAAAATAACTCATGCCAACCGTTTTTTATCCGACCGATGCGGCGCCGCCGTTCCGACCGGTGCGATCTGAAAGGAACACTAGTGAAGTTTTGCTTAGTATAGGTGCCTAGGGTCGAGGCGGTGGCATGAGCAAGTCTGAAGGTACTTTGGATGCCGATCTGAAGTTTAATATTATATGTTTCAAAGGTCAACAGGCATTTTGAGCAAGCCTATCCCAAAACTTGGACGAGTCAATTCATACAAAGGACACCCTACCTCTTGACTTTGGCGTTTCTGGTTCTCCTGTTTTGTTTTATTTCAGAGGTCATAGACGCCTGTCCCTACCAAGCGCGTCGCAATCAACCGGCCACCCGTGCGCGTGTCCATGGGATGGATACATGCCATATTTTGTAAGACATCTTATTTCATGTGGGCTAGCTTTTCCTCAGCATCACAGGGTAGTAAAAGATCAACCTGCAAAATAAGCTTCGCTCAAATGCCTACGGTTATGCTTCACTAACTGATAACATTTTCTGCTGCGCATGGTGACGCACTTCAATGCAGTCTGAAAGTTTCATTTGAATCAAGATGTATGAGTTCCCTGGAAATCGTGAAAGAATGCAGCTAGAAATTTTGAAATATAATGACCCCGGGATTTCAAATAAAACTCAAATTTTCCCGTATTGTTGCCGCAGAAAATGTAGAGCAAGTGTGGGTGTAATGGTTTACGGGAAAACCACAGCAAAGTTATCATTAATGGTGACATGCACTTAACCGAGTTCATTTGTTTATGACTGATTTCTAGGTCACCTTTGATATCTTTCAGAAAGAAGGTAGTGATGTGGCAGTTAACAGGCATTGTCTTTCTATAAACCCGTTGGCTGCAACGTGCAAAATGCTCACACGCACTATATTGCCGCGAAGACAGGCCATTGCCTTTGCCGAAGCCCAACTTTGGTGGAGCTGAACCCAACTGAAGTTATTCTGAAGACATTCGCGATGTGGTGAAATGCGTAGCGGAGGGTCCAGCCCCCAGAACAAGCGTTCGTAGCTGGCTCGCAGAGGAGGGCCATTTGGCTGCTGACTGGGCAGCGTCAGCCTGATCGCAGGGCGCCGAGAGTAGTGCAATTGCATGGCACGGTGAAGGTCCTTTCGTGCTATTCCGATAAGGGCCCGATGCAGAATGGGTCCGTTAAACATTTATTACAATATTACGTAAGGTGTTCAGTGCATTAGCGAGGAACAGTAGTTACGAAGATAAGACAGAAGCATTAGCCTTATTTCTCCGAAAAACCAGGAGATTAGAGATATAGTTGGATTGACATTTCGGCAACATGCCTTTCTCGAAGCAATAAGAATTCGCTTTTTTAATAATTTTTAATTTTTCAAAAATTTTTAGATAATTTTAAATTTTACATTTTACAGATTATAAATGAAAACTGAAAGTAACACTGTTACACAAAGTTCACATAAAATATGGGGAAAAGGAGTGAAAAATTCCTCCTCATAGGGTGTTGCCTTACACCCAAAGTCGGCAGTTCTAGGACACTGCTCTAGTCCCACTGCCACTGCTTCGGGGTGAGTCGGCACTGCCTCTTACCACCCGCATTCGCCCGCTCAGATGGCTCTTAAACCAAAACGGCGTTTGCTGTCAAATCGTGCGACGTTGGCCTGTTCTGGACACCGTGGTCGACACCTTCGAAGGCTTTGCTTAAGCCCACGGCAGGAACTGATGATATTGCTCCCTTGGCCACATCGCCCGGTATCCAATCCACAGCGTCGAGCACGGCGTCCTCCGTCGGGTGGCAACACCTGTAGGTGCATTGTTAAACGCGCAGTATTGTCCAGTGAGCTCTTCCGGCCTTGTACAATATGCGTATGAAAAAACTTCATGATGAGCAGCAGCTGCAAAAAAGAAAATCGAGAGAGCACGCAAGCAACGACGAAAAACTGACACGCGAACATAGTTGAACATGGTTTTGATATGATAAGAATGACAAAACGGGGCGACGCGCATACGCCAGGCTTTAAGTCGGCGAAAAGAGAAGGGTTTCCTTTAGGTTCATCGACCAAGGGGATAGCAGGCTCGGAGAACGCCCTCAAAAGACGCAGAGGTTTGTCTCCCCTCCGCGCCAATGAGAACAAGGCGGTCCGGCAGCGAAGTATCATCGACCTGGTTGTCGATTGGTGTTTGGACGAGCTGCTGATCTGAGCTGCATTGCTGTGTCAGCATTGACGAGTGGTGCTGCTGTTCTGTTAGCCAGTCGGCGTGCGCGGCCAGATGCCGTTGACTCACTCATCACCAGTCCATGCCGCCCCAAACGTGACCCTCGTGTTTACACTGGCACCGCGCGCTCTGTGGATACCACGCGAGTTAACCATGCAAGGCGCCCCTGGATGCTGGTGCGTGGTGTCGTTCTCTTCGGTGACACGTGACGTCTGTCTTGTGGCTTTGTTTTTGAGCGATCTATGGCCTTTACACCTACATCGCCAAATGTGGGCATGTTGTCCATCCCGTCACAGAAGTTACCTGACCTTATCCCATACCGTACCGCCTGGGCCCGCCCTTGGACAGACCGCGGCGTCATATCACCCCCGTATTCGCTGCCTGGCACCGCCCCTGCTGTGCCTATCAGTGGTTGCGGCGCGGTAGCGGGACACAGGACACCGCCCCCCCCCCCCCCCCCCCCCCCCCCCCCCACCGTCCCCCCCCCCCCATCGGCCCGTGTGACCGATACCAGACCCCGGCGAGATACGGTCTGCCCCTGCACAGATGCGGGCAGTCGCTGGCGGAGCCGGCGGCAGAGAGGGTGCGCGGGGAACGGCGGTACCATACGTGGATCAAGATGTGGCTGAGGGTGCTGGCGATGGCGGCGGCCGCTCTGGCCGCCCCGCGGGAGCAGATCTGTGGATACGACGTGAGTTATGACCGGCCGGTCCGTCCTCAGATCACGTGCTGCCCAGCGTGTGTCTCGCCAATTGGGCACGGACGGGTACGCGGGCTATATAACAAGCCTAGGGGCGAGAACCCATTAGTGATTTCCGTGTGTTGGTGGCCTTGGCGTGCCCTCAGCTGCAGATGTGTGCGCAGTTCCAGTCGAGCACAGTTCACACTGATCCCGACGCCCGGTATGCAAAGTGGATTCCCGCTCTGGCTCCTCCGGGCCTTTTACAAGCTCGAGCCAACCCCACACCTGACCCCCATTGTTTTTAACCAATCTCAAATCCAATTCCAAGGGTGTTGATGCCAACGGCCTATTGTCATGCATCGTTTGCGCACGTCGCTCTTCTTTGTTTAAAGTATGAGCTAAGCTGTCGGACAGTAGTAACCGAAAAGCCGGAACTTACAATCGCGTACACATGATGTAACAATTATGTAACGCGACGTGATCTAACAGTCACAAGTACATCCCCAAACTGAGTGAGAGGTGGACGTAAAAATGACAACAGCGCGGAACATGACCTGCCGCAAACCTGCGGTTTTCGTCTAAGAAAAGACCCGGCCCGTTTGTCGGCCCACCGTTGCTGTACAGTCACGTGTTTCTGCTGAAGGTCCCCTGCGCGGCAGAGATGATCCACGGAGGCCGGTCTGCGCGCTGAGCAACCGGGGGCCGTGACAACACGGGACAGGAATAACACGGCTGAACAACAACATGCCATCGTGCTGCCCACACAGAGGCTTGGACAAACTTGTCAACTGTCACGCATATCGCCTGATATACCAATAAAGGGTGTCCCATCTTGGAAACAAATTTCAAACACATGATTGGTGAGCTATCAGGACCTGCCATTAAAAGAAAAGACATTGGGGAGTGAAACTGCAGTACTTACGAGATGCTATGCTCAAATCAACTTCATTAACTTTCCAGTCACTTGGTCAACATTTCGGCACGCTATTTTTATTTTTTTCGTATTGCCATATGTCATGTCGTGCATGCGTATTTCTTAAGCTTTGGGTGATTCTAGCGCACTCAAGATATCGTGCACTATTGTGAAGTTCATGGTCGTTTTGGATAATTGTTGGGATTTGCACACGGTATGAAAATTGCGAATGAAAACCTTTAACTTGTTAAAACAGCCCTGTTCAGCATATGGCTTATTTTTATATTTTGGTCAACAGGTCATTTTTGGCCTGCACAATTTTAATGGACCGCTCTGACGCTGCTTGAAGCATAAAGCCATTAGAATGATGCAATGAACGCATGAACCCAGTAGACCCGACCTTACAGCCATCGGCCCTGCTGTCCAACCGTGCTGTCTGCTCCAGCCAGCTCTGTCTGCCGTCACAGCCATGGACGCCTCACCGCAACGTTCAAATGCCTATGCGTGTTCACGTTCGCAGGCTGTTTAGTGTCGCGTGCAAACGTAGTAATTGCATGACTTGCCTGCCGGTCGGGCGGGCCGTATTGACAGAGGCGGTGCCAATATTTTTTCTTTCAAAAACGGAACGCGACGCGCGGGTTGCCTGCCCGCCATGGACTGCCAGCATCAGCTTTATGTCGATACTGCGGGCGTCCGAAGGTTTCAGTGAGTAAGTGGTGCATACAACTGGTGCTCTCGCTGACGCGCTTCCAATGCATGTTGAATTATGGCCATACTCGCGGCTCAACGCCCGTTAGAGGCCACACTGGGCCGGTGCCTAGTCATGAGCTTTAGTTTTTAGTTTAGTAGTCATGAGCTTTAGTTTTTTTAGAGCTTTAGAGTTTTAGTTGCAGTGCCTGCATGGGCCAGACATCGCCACCTGTCCTTTTCCAGTGCAGGTTAAGCCGTTAAAGTTAAGACATTGATCACTTGTTTTCTCAAGGTAGGTCCCATGATATGCTGTTACATCCGTGGTCGCCTGGCCTTCCCTTCCCAACGGTTAGGTAGGACTCCCTGGCTTTCCTACGCGACCTCGGTCAGGTCACCTCGGTTCAGCTGCCCCGAGGCATGCACACTGCCGGGCACACTGACCGGACCAGCATCAGGTCACCGCCGAACGGGTCAGCGCCGAGTCACCGCTGACCGGACCAGCGCCGAGTCACCGCTGACCGGACCAGCGCCGAGTCACCGCCGACCGGACCAGCGCCGAGTCACCGCCGACCGGACCAGCGCCGAGTCACCGCTGACCGGACCAGCGCCGAGTCACCGCTGACCGGACCAGCGCCGAGTCACCGCTGACCGGACCAGCGCCGAGTCACCGCTGACCGGACCAGCGCCGAGTCACCGCTGACCGGACCAGCACGGTGCCAATCCGGCGATCTGTTACAACAGCCGACCACCATACCGCCGGCCACAGCCACCGCCATTGCCGATAGTGTTGACATGTACCATCAATACATCAGCCGAAATGGGTATGTTACTGGCTGCAACACGCTTGGATCCGCTAATTATGCCATTCCGAGCACGAATCCGCCATCAACTCCAGGAAGGGTACGATAGCATCGAGCGCTTGAAGGTCGGCGCGACCTTGAACTTGTAAGGTCAGTGGCCGGTCGGGACCGGGTGAGGTGGGCGCCATGAACCAGCTCTGGTGCGACGACGTCTTAGGTGCCTGACGACTATCTATCCAGGGAGGGGCCCGGATAGCGGCCAAATATGGTCACAAGATACCTGTTTGGTAAGTATATGCTGTGTAGGTTTGGAGTCACGTCAGGTGTGTGGATGGGGACACCCGTTGACTTTGACGATGCATGTGAGTGGGAATGTGACACGAGCAGGGTAAAACTGTACTTAGATCGTAAAATCGGTGTGCTTGGTAACCCCGCCTACAAGAGGTCCGAGGGGATGAACACATTTGTCGTGTGGGTTAGCGTGAGTACGATCGCTGTAGAATGAAAATGGAAAACGAGGTGATGGTTCGTCACGACAGAGTATTGACCTTGGCCTTGTTGACCTTAAGGATGCGACCTTAAGATACTGTATAAGACAACGAAAAAGTATGGAAAGTCCGCTCGTGTGCAACACGGCTTACATTTTAAACAAGAGACTGAGAAGCAACCTTTGCACCCTCATGATTCAGGCTCAGGCTGGGTGGATGGAAATGTGTCAGGGGTACACTATAAGATGGCGGTTAGGTGACCAAATGGGCCTGCGCAGCGTCTCCGCAGGTATCCCATGCAGGAAGCGGAAGATGGCTGGGGACGGTGAAGTTTGCTATTCTTTTGGCCTTGTTTCATTTTCAGGTTGGAATATTACTATTTTCAGATATTGGTATTGGAAATATTTGTAGTTCATTTACATTCCTTCGTCTTTATGTTTGTAGTCCATGTATATTCCAGAATTCAAAATAGCCAGTGGAATTTTGAATTCGACAGTATTAATTATAGTATGAATTATAGAATTCGACAGTATTAATTATAGTATGAATTATAGAACTCGACAGTATTAATTCAATTCATAATTCGACGTGTATTTCAAATTGCCAGTGCAATTTCGGATTCACTTCTGCTATTGTTTCGATACGGGTATGTTGCCGAAATATCAATCCAACTATATCTCCATTGTCCTGCTTTTCTCCGAAGAGTAAGGCAAACACTACTGCCTTATCTATGTTGATAAAGTTCCTCGCTAATGCACCGGACAATTTACGTGATCTATTGATGGGTTGTTTGCAGGCGTGGCTTTTGATCCCAGTCTGCGCTAAGTGGGGCTTTCGCCCTACGATAAAGCCCCTGGCCTCACGCCCCTCGGAGCAGCCCGCAGTTCGCTTGTGCTGGCTTGCGTAGAAGCAAACAGAGGCACCACGCAGGTGTTGCGATAAGCCGCACAGACCACTCACGCGCTGCTGATTCGCTCTCCGCTGCACGTAACGGTCAATGACCCCTGCGGGAAGTGGTCAATGACCCCTGCAGGAAGTGGTCAATGACCCCTGCAGAAGTGGTCGCCGAGATAAGAGCGCCGCCCGAGAAGCCATCGCCGCTCACGGACGGCTGTGGCGCAGTGAAGAGGTCGGGGGACGGCCGGGGATCGGCCGAACAAGGCGTCATGATGCGGCGATGTGAAACACGTACTGCATACGCCGCAACACGGCAAGCTGCAAGAAGTGTGGGTGCGCTACCCTTCAGACATGAGAACATGGCTATGTTTCAGAAATGTCCGGCGGGTAAGCAGGACATGTTGAACGTGCACCTGGTACCACACACACACGACGACGTGGGCTGGCTGAAGACCGTCGACCAGTACTTCTACGGAGGTTAGAACTGACCGCGTGTTCGCGCGGTGCGCAGGCAGCGCGCTTTTTATATATTATTTTTATGTTTTTATTATTTTTATTTTATGTTATTATATTAATAGACTAATTATCTCAAAACAGGGCATCATGGTTCGAAGCAGCGACCTTCTGATGCATGAGAGGTCCTCCTGGTTCAGAAAAGAGCCTCCTTATATGAGGGCGAACCTCCTAGTCCAGAGCAAAGAACTGCTTATTCATAACGAAGGCCTCCAGAATCAGCGAAAGGGCCTCTTGAGGACATCAGATCCAGAAAACGGGCTACTTGATGCAGGCAAGAGCATTCTGAGCCGGATTTGGTACCTCTTTTAGTTATTGAGGCCTCGTTGTCCTGCATTTAGGCGAGACATGTGTACCTGCAAAGTCTTCAGCTGACTCGGAAGGGCTCTCCAAAAATTTTGAGTGGGAAAGAACCTACTCTTGCGTCCTGCTGTTGGCAGGCAGGGGGCATCTGTCTCCTTTGCCGCTCCCCCTTCCTCTCACTGGTGCGGCCATTTCAGCCGAGCGTGAGATCCAGTGGGCTAGCGTTCAGTGTATGACGTCACCGATGCGGCCGTTTCAGCCAAGTCTGAGATCCAGCGGGCTGGCGTTCAGTATATCCTGGACTCGGTGATACAAGAGCTGGTCAAGGATCCAGAGAAACGGTAACATGGTTCGAAGAGAACCGGTTGTGCAGTTTGATCGTAACGACGGAGTGGTCTTGGGTGTCATTATACATTTAATCGTAACGACGGAGTGGTCTTAAGTGTCATTATACATTTGATCGTTACGACGGAGTGGTTTTGAGTGTCATTCTACATTTGTTCCCGTGTGGTTCAGAGTCAGGTGATTCTCTGCCAGTTAAATCCTCATAGTGCTCCTTGGTTGATTGTGGGCAAAGCAAGCGATATGGGTTCTGAGAAATTAGACATACCATTATCACCTGAATCATCCTAAATGCGACGATATCTATCCCTTAAGGCGACGTACGATAAACCATGCGTATGCTGCAAAATTGTTGTTAAAACATATAGAGAGATGCGTGCTTTGCATTCATTACACAAACACTTACGCAAAACTTGCGGTTATTGCTTCGGAGTAGACTTCAAGAGCTGTCTGGTACTTGCAAAGAACACATCACATCGGTTTCAATCGACGTGACTTCAGTCGTCGGCTTCATCCGCCCACAGGCTTTCCCGTACACAAAACGCACACGTAGGCTTGGCAATTAACCTTGCTTTGAATGGTCTTAAATGTAGCGCAGACGCGATCGATTACCTTCCCTCTGCCTACTCGTTCACCTGGTATCAAGATGTTCGTCCGCCCCCAGCCTGAAGATGCGTTTGTCTCCCATCTGAATCCTTATACCGCCTAGGCTGTCCTCCGTCTGTCGTCCGACCGTTCGGCCCGTGCAGTCTAAGCATTGGTGTCCTCCAGCCAGGCTGAATACAGTTACGTCTTGTTTCCCGGGGCCGATTCGCCCACCTGGCCAACAGGGCACCAATGATAGTGAGACGCGAACCTTCGTTTCAGTTTCATATACGTGGAGACGGCGTTCTTCTGGCGCTGGTACCTGCAGCAGGACGAGCAGACGATCGCCACTGTGGAGAACCTCGTCAACGAGGGACGGCTCGAGTTTATCGGCGGCGGCTGGAGCATGAACGACGAGGCCTGCGTCCACTACAACGCCGTCATCGACCAAATGTCGCTCGGCATGAGGTGAGAACATTTGTCGCTCGGGGTGAGGTGAGAACACATGTCGTTCGTGACCCTGAGAACACAGAGTCTCGTCGCGTGGGTTTAGGTTAGCTGAGCAAAGTTCTCCATATGCCTTCCAAATGTCGTTCGGTACAAGGCGACCAATATGTCGCCCGGAAATGGGTGAGAACTTTCCACTCGATATGATGTCGGAGCTTCTGTGGCTCGGCATGGGATGTGAGCATGTTTAGCTCGATGTCAGCTGAAGACAGGGTTGCTCTGAATGGAGCCGCAGTGGGATGAGGGCGTTCGTTTGTTTGGGATGTGTTAGGACAAGCGTCCCTCGGATTGAGGTGAAGAGACATGACGTGAGAGCACATGCTGCTCAGCATGACGTGATGGCACATGCCGCTCGGAATGAGTTGGGAACATTTAGCGCCCAGCACGTGTCCAAAACCAAATCTGCCCTGGATGACGTCAGGATGAATCGCTTGACGGTCTCTCACTTAATCTTGTTCTTATTTGATTCCACTCTCAATTTTTCTCACCGTTCTCACTTGGTTCCCACTTGATTTTGAGCCATGCGTGCGCTCACGCCATTCAGCGCAACATAGGTATCTGAGAACGGTGTCTGTGGAACGCAGCTGAGGCGAAGCAAACGGTGTTTGGTGTGAAGAGGATGCGCGCTGCTCGTGTCGCTCCTGGTCAGTTTAGCGGTCGCGACCAACAGCCATCGATGATGTTCGGTTCAAAATTCAAGAAGAAAACGCGACTCCATCCTTCGAACTCAAATCGAACGCTGTGTCTTTCCGAGTTGTGTTGTATGATTGCTGGCAATATTGCTAATCTTGACGTAACCAGACCAAAGGGCCAAAACTGCCGATAATTAACTTATTTACTTGATTTCTTTACCATCCTTTGCCGTTAAATTACAAATCAGAGTTTAGATTGGCTCTGAATATCAGAGAAATATCTTTAATAACGCAGGAGTTATCATTTGAGACAGATGAATGTGTTATGGTATACAATGTATATACATAAGAACGAGTGGCTGGACATTTCGTGGATAGGCTGGGCATAAAGAAGTACAATGCAAATATGTTGTGTTCAAATGAGCTTGCGACATCTTGTCATGTTGTACATAGCACTCTGTTCATTAGGTGTGTTGTCCTGCTGCGATTTATTGGAATACCGTTAGCAGGGCTTTCTGACAATCATTTAGACGGCATGTGGGCGATTGTGATAGAAAAAGATCGGGTTTGATAAAGTAAGTGCTGGATAGGCACGTGCGACGCAGCAGATCATGATCCGAGACGGACTTTGGCGGGTGTTTGACCCGTTCTCCGTGCATGCGTGGAAACGCCCGGCTGATTAAATGGGTGAACTACATTTGTCATTTCTTGTCCGGTATGATGTCATCATACTGCCTGCTAACATTACCTGGTGGAAGAAAATTTCAGCATTACTTCCTGTATTATACTCTAGATGGCGTTAGATTAGCACCCGTACGCCGCTAATCGCTGGCTATCAGCGGATTCTGATTGGTCTGGCAGTGGCTCATACGCAGCGCGTTGTTCAATCTGGGCAACCGTTGGTAGGATGGATACTGGCTGATAGTTGCCTGAGTGCTCGGCGCTTATTGATGAAAAAGCTAAATCACTGTCGCAAATAAGCAATATATAGAAGCAATTTGTCGTCATGGGCGCTTTACGACTCGCTCAACTGCCGAGGCTCTGTGGCGTCGCTTGCCTCTCACTCTGGCAGAAAGGCCGGGCATCGCGGGGAATCGAACCCTGTACATGTGGCTTACGCATCTTAACCGCTAGTCGATACAATATCCATCAACCGCGATGGGAACAGCAGTCACGTTTACAGATGTGACCCTATGGCTAGGATGTGGGCGGCAACCTATTTATATCATGTCGCCATGATCAGCACACACTTCAGAATATTTACAAAAAGTATGGTTACGTACCTAAGGGATTTACACGCTTTGCACACAGTTGACCATTTTCGGAAACTCTACAGCGTAGGACTCGAAACTTCTAAGTACGAGACTGAACATAACACAGCTGCTGGCGGAGAGGTGCTGGACTTCCACCTCAAGCTGGGCCGTAACTCGAAATTCGATTTAGACAAAAGGCCGTTGCGCCCATCGCTGCACTGGGCTGTGCTGTAGAGAATGTGGAAACAGCAGACCTAGCTTGTCTCTGGGAGCGCGTCGGCACCTCGGTCTGTCCGAGCGGGGCCGTCGGCACTGTCCGAGAGCGGCCGTCGGCACCTTTGTCTGTCCGAGCGGGGCTGGGTGTTGCGTCACCCACGTCATTCCTGCAGATGTCGCGGAGTTACGGCCGTGGCGGCTGCCACATTAGAATTTGGCGCATCGACGTGTGCCCAAGGCGCTGGGGTCACCTCGCTGCCGGGCTGTTCTTGTCCTTCTGTCCTAGGAGGCTTACTTCGGGGTAGGCTACTTCTTCGACGGTAGTCGCAGGGACTCTCCAGCAGTATATGAGCACCACTACATACCAGCAGCATTTGAAAATGACAGCACAGAGCAGGGTCGTCATCAGTGTGATTGATGACACATCACGATCGTGAACGACGCTTGCGAGGCCGGCGATTGTTACGAAGAGGCTGATAAACACAACTATGGCATTGAAAATCAGCCAGGGCGCGATCAGGCGCCAGCTCTTTTTCTTCACTCCGCAGAGCATCATGACATCAAACAACAACGTCAAAAAAGCCAGTGCCTGGTGATGATGTCGGATAACTTTCAACACGTAGGCAGAATCCACGTCTTTTGATTCATCACTGTCACGTTCTAACGACGATTCGAGCGAAATTTTGAGAATCCATCCCAGTATCTGCATGAAGTCAAATAGTACATTTTCGTAGCCCACGCACAACGCCCACTTCCGGAGTTTTCGATCGCTGCAGAGCATCGCGGTCTCTGGGTGTCCCGGCGATAGGTCCGAGCTGGGGAGCACACGTCCTTCTTGTAGAGCGCACCAGCCTTCAACGTCCTTCCGCACAGAGCACTGTGAAGCTGATGGCCACGACTTCAGGGGTTCACTTTATCATGTCAGATAACCCCACATCGAGCGCTGATTAGTTGGTAACTGCAAGATAATGGGCTCCCTCTCAAGTTCGAGGGAGGCAGAGTGAATTTGCTTTTTCTTCTTTCCAGTCTACATCCGAAGGGTCAATCTTAGATTCTCAGAAAGCTGAGGGGGGCGGGGGCGATGGCTCAGCACCCTAGCTCCCTGGACCCTTTTTCTCGCGTTCCTGGATATGTAGATACAATATTGACAGAGATGCAAGGGGTGATGACCTGATGCACTTATTTTTTTTAACAGGCTGAGAATGGTCGCAAATTTCAACTGGACGCGCGACACGCTTCTGCCCGCAGCTTATAAAATTGCATGGCCACCATGCCGCCACCTTGGAGTCATCTTACCGTTGCGCTACGCATACTAAAAAAACTTCTGCAATCGCGCAATGACAAACCGGAATATCAGCAAAGGTCGAAGCATGATGTAGCGATGCCCTTTATTGCTACCTAGCACGAAAATAGTCGAGCCTTCTGTGCCATAGCCACGTGCGGTAATTCGCTTAGACGGGCAAGACCGCTTTCATCCATCTGCGAACGAGTCCGTGGACATGTCGTCAATGAATATGTTTGTCCATAGCCCGCCCAGGATATTCTTTGCGAAAACGGTGTTTGGCGCACGAAGTTGAAAGAATACATCTAAATAGGACAAGGTCTTGAAACTGACATTGCGTCCTCAAAGCAGCCATTTTCAAAACGATTCCGGTAACTGTCGTTTGTGATAAGTAAATCCAATTGCTGCCGCTTTACTTCACTAAAACGTTAATAGCCAGTGCGCTGTTTTTTATCGTTTTTATTGTCACACACTTAAAGCCGTGAGCCTTATGAAAACGGATTCCAGTACAACCTTTGCGAAACAAAAGGCGCCCATTGTCTCCGCACCGCGGCGTGGTGGGGGCTGTCAGCGGCGAGGGAGCCCGTCAGGCACGGCTATATGTGCAGAATGTACTGAGGAGGCAGAGGTAATGCTCTGATGGCTCTGTAGCATGTAGTAAGAAGGCGGAGATCCTATAGTGGCGGCTTTCTTGGCCACTTCAAAACGTGACCATAATCGCGCATGTTGCACGCCCAGGGCAGGTACGCTGGGTTCGATACCCCCTCAGCATGGGTGTGCAGGATAGTAGCTTACGAAATGACAGTAGCTCACGAGATGGCGGTCCGAGGAACTCGATGGACCTGAAATACGAAATATAAGTGGCTCCGCACGCAAGGAGCTGCGCTGCATTCCGCTTGAAGAGGCTTCGGCACCTGCAGACAGAGAGCACAAGCCTGCCGTGTGATGGTTATTAGCGCACTTGCTGTTTGAGCAGCAGTGCTGCATGCAGACAGCAAAAGCCTGCTGCGTGATGGTGAATAGCACACTTGCTGTTTGAGTACAGTGCTGCAGGCAGAGAGCACAAGTCTGCTGTGTGATGGTTTTTAGCGCGCTTGCTGTTTGAGTGGCAGTGGCAGACTCGCTCCGCAAGTCGCCCGCGTTAGACATCATACCAAGCCCCAAATCTTACCGGGGAGTTGAATTGGCGGTTGATCGCCAGCGCAGCCTCCGATGCCGTCATGTTCCAGGACGCTGTTCGACCACTTCGGGCCGTGCGGTATTCCTCGGGTGGCCTGGCAGATCGACCCGTTCGGACACACCAAGGAGCAGGTGAGACGGCCCTCCGGTCCTGGATCCGCTGACGTACACACGGGGACGGCATCAGGGTGAGACGCTCCTCCGGTGCACGGTCCGCTGACGTACACACGGGGACGGCATCAGGGTGAGACGCTCCTCCGGTGCACGGTCCGCTGACGCACACACGGGGACGGCATCATGGTGAGACGCTCCTCCGGTGCACGGTCCGCTGACGTACACACGGGGACGGCATCATGGTGAGACGCTCCTCCGGTCCAGGATCCGCTGACGTACACACGGGGACGGCATCATGGTGAGACGCTCCTCCGGTGCACGGTCCGCTGACGTACACACGGGGACGGCATCATGGTGAGACGCTCTTCCGGTCCAGGATCCGCTGACGTACACACGGGGAAAGCATCATTGTGAGACGCTCCTCCGGTCCAGGATCCGCTGACGTACACACGGAGACTGCACCATGGTAAGCTGTTCCTCTAGTACAGGGTTCGCTGAAGTGCACTATTAAGCAGCGCCATGGCTCAGAAATATGCGAGTGGCTTCGTGACGGAATGTTGCCCTGCGATATTGTATATGATCCCCAGGTTTTAACATTGTAACATGTTTGGAGAGTGGAATATTAAGGTGGACTATTTTGCCCGTGAATATGTGACATGTAATATGTGCTATATATATATATATATATATATATATATATATATATATATGTGTGTGTGTGTGTGTGTGTGTGTGTGTGTGTGTGTGTGTGTGTGTGTGTGTGTGTGTGTGTGTGTGTGTGTGTGTGTGTGTGTGTGTGTGTGTGTGTGTGTGTGTGTGTGTGTGTGTGTGTGTGTGTGTGTGTGTGTGTGTGTGTGTGTGTGTGTGTGTGTGTGTGTGTGTGTGTGTATGCAAGTGCACGCTATAGTTTCGTGATGCTGTGTACTCCAATCACTGTGATTTTGCTTCCTGAATGGGGCAGGGCTCCAAGAAAAAGTTGGACGGAGGTCGGTGCGGACGCCATTGTTTCTTCAGTTTGAACGCAACTCAACGAAACAGGCATGCGTTCTGGCTGTTCTTGATGGACGATGCGATTTGTTTAGGTTAGCAGTGCCGAGGTGGTCATGCCCACCTCCGATCTGATTGGATCTGACCATGCACACCTCCGATCTGATTGGATCTGTCAATGCTCGCCTCCGATCTGATTGGATCTGCCTTTCCGCAGGCGAACATGTTTGCCCAGATGGGTTTCGACGGCTATTTCTTCGGCCGTCTGGACTACGACGACAAGAAGCGGCGGATGAACGCCTCGGAGATGGAGATGGTGTGGCTTGCCAGTCAGGACCTTGGTCAGTTCTCTGTGCGCCCTTCTCCCAATCGCTGCGTACTCGGGTGTCAGGATAGTCATTTACTTCTCTACAGCCTGCATTAAGCTATGAGTTAACAAATTGTGCTTCGCGCACCACTCTATCAGTGTCTCTTGTGTCGTGATATTTATGGTGAGCTAGGAGTGTATTTATACGGTATTTTAAATGCATTACTCATCGACGAATATTTCTTGAGCCCAGCGCAAAGAGTATTAGGAATTTTTCCCCAGATTAATCCGATATCTTTGAAGTTGAAGTTGAAGTTGAAGTTGAAGTTTGAAGAGTTAACTCTGCACATTAACACTCTGCTCTAACACAGAGCAGTTGACACTCTGCTTTACGATGTAGTTATTGTTTAAAAATGTGGTGACCTTGTGATTGTGAAGCGTGAGAAAACGATATTACGAAAGCGACAGTATTTTTGTGTTGGAACTTGTGAGTTGAAAACCTCTTATGTGGTGTAACCCTGTTTGGTATGCCATAGTCCCTTTAACATGTATATTTCAACTGCCTTTGACCCGTGAGTAATCACCCCTGGAGTTATCCACTGCGGTTTCTCGTTCCCACCTTCCACATTGTTATGGCGTTGACCTGATCACTTGACCACGTGTTATGACGTCATCTGCGTTGCATGAAGCGTATGCTTCAACCCTCGGCTCACATCATTGCCGATCTCGTATACATAAATAGAACCTGCCGTCGCTCAGTGTGCAGGCTCAAATCCGCGTCTGCCCACCCTCTTCCCACTTCGCAATCATCGCATGGTCATTCCGGGCTCGGAATCCCAAGCGCACTGCCAGGAATTGGTCGTGGTCCATCCGGCCCAGCCTCTAACACGCTGGGAGCGCAGGCTCGGAGTTGTTCACGGGCGTGCTGCCCAACATGTACCAGCCTCCGTCCGGCTTCTGCTTCGATATCCTCTGCGACGACGCGCCGATCATGGATGACCGCCGGCTGCATGATTATAATGTGGACCAGAAGGTAACGCCGCTAACGGGCCGTGGGCGCCGCGCAACGGCATGCAGTGTTCCTCCTTCCTCTGCTTTATGTTCCTGATTTGACCAAGTCCTGCGCGCAAAGGGCACTTCTTACTGTCCCTCTGCAGCTAATCCGATATCAGGTGACACAGTATCGACTTCGACAAACAACGCACAACTGCTCGAACACTGTCGTCGCTGCCTCATTTGTCACGTCTCTCAGGTGATAGAATATGATGAGCTGACACACATGACATGCCAGCATAACGCCATTTCATTCATTGTGCATGTTTGTGCAAACCAGAACCTACCTAAAACAGATGTAACCCATCACAAACACCGCATAAAGTACCGTGCATACTTCCAGCAGGACAGTCTTTCTTCAGTAACCCACCAGCAAACAAGACAGCCGAAAGTTGACAGCTCTGAAAGCTGACAGCTCTGAAAGCTCCTGATAGCCTTCCTTTCGTCCTAGTTTCCGTTATCATGTGGCGACCGTTTTGCCGTAATTGCTGTTGATGCCCCAGGCGAGACTGGAGAGATTTTCACGGGCGCCCTCTACAACATTTACGCTCCGCCCCCCGGCCACTGCTATGACGTCAATTGTAACGACCAACCAATCATGGACGACAAGCGGCTGAAAGATTACAATGTCGATGAAAAGGTGGGTCCGCACGCCAGGCCCGGCGTTAATGGCTGATGATTTTGTGCAACGGTGATTGCAAGTAGTTTTTTTTAATTCCTCGGACAAATTAAATGCGCGTGTCTATGGTTATTTATCGTATTGCAACATCAAACGTTTTCCTTGAACACTTGGAACTCCGAGTAGCTGCAAAAATACACGATTTTAGCATGGTGGTTTAAGACGAACAGCCGAAGGTTCCAAGTCGCGCTATGACATAAGTTATTCGGGCCGAATGCTAATTCGTTACAGCAAAGCACACCGGCATTACAAAAATCACGCTCCCTGTGGACAGTGCCCTCCTGCCTGACGCATTTCGGGCGCAGTTGCGTACAGTTAGGACAGCGTGGCCAGTTGTTAACGGAAAATGTTGAATTGCAGAAATCGCGATTGTCTGAGCAGCCCGTCGGCATGTGGTTTCATATTAGCTCGCTCTCCTCATGGTTGTATGCAACCTGATTGTTTTACAGGTGGATGATTTTATTGCATATTCCAAGAAGCAGGCAAAGTCGTTTAAGACGAACCACATTGTCATGACAATGGGAGAAGATTTTCATTATCAAGACGCCGGCATGTGGTTTAAAAACATGGACAAGCTCATCAAGTATGCCATCTTCATGTGTTTTATTAACTCTAAAACTCGTTATCTGGGACTTAATTTGGCGTTGGTTCACTAACACTGTTGATTAATACGGGCTTTGTGTGGGTAATGTCCGCATCTTGTATTATCTCCAGACTGCTTTATTTGTGCTTCTTCGTGCTCTGCTGGTGTTAATTTGCCGCAGCATTTCACAACGTTTCGATAATTTACTGGCACTGTTTAGTTCACAAAATACAGCTAGCTTCCAAATCTGACAGCAATCCTTTTCTCTGTAGGATGTCAGTGTTCCTCCAGACATAACCGTTACGTCGGCGGCACATTCCCCCACATCTGGTAGCTGATGAATCAGTTTCCACTGAACCTGACCAGACAACAACAAGCAAACAAGTTTCAAGGCACACCTGTCACGGCCACGCATGATTCGAGCTTGGTGTCACTGCCGCAGTTGACACGTCCAACGCTTCCCTTGCCACAGAAGTATGAGGCTGAAACCGTCTCAAAGCGTACCAGAAATACAAAAAAAAAATCGACGTCTCATTCCCGAATGGTCCGCCATCTTCCCGGTGATTTGTGTTAAACTATACACTAGTGGCTAGACACGGAATGTGAAGGGTCACTGGCATCGAACAGCTGGTGTCGGAGGCCATCCAGTGCCCTCCAGCGGGGTCCCCAGTTCGAGCAACCGACCCGCCGCGGGGCATCCGTCATGTCTGTATCGAACGTTCTCAGCTGGGGACGGCTGCATCGCACCGTTCTTATCTGAGAATGTTTGCCCGCTCGTCGGGGTTTCCGATGTGGGACCGTCGTCCTGTTATCGGTCGTCCGGAGGCCGTCCACATTGCAAGGCGTTGACCTCACCGGGGTGAGATAAGATACCGGACGGCGCCTGGCCTCGTTGGCATTGTCTGCTAGAGGCCGTGTACGGTCCTGCAGCCTCTTGCATTTACAACGGATGGGCAGTTTCTTGGGAATGGCAGCATGCCGGTTGTTTGACACGTGCTGAAATGTTGCTATGTTCTCATAGCTGCTTGAACAGCTGTGCGTTCACGTGGAAGACGGGCATCGAGTTAGCGAGACTCCGTATGACAGTGGATAACAGTTAGGGAAGGAGCACCATCAACGACGGAATATGTCACACTATAAATCATGAAAATGCACGTGCATACGTCAGGTCGTCTTCTTTAGTAGTTTTGTTGGTTTGGTCGGATTGGTTGACGTCATTCGGAATATATTCCGTATTTTTTAATTTTTCGTTTTATTTTTTCATCCCACTACTTGCCGTGTATTGAATCAAAAGGCCTCCGTGAAACACCACCACCGCTCAGGGCATCAACAGCGATTATGGACGTCTTATACTGTTTAGTTGAGCTCTGAAAAATGGATCACCTGCTTATTCGTTACAGTATAGTGAACATAGCAATTCTTTGCGATCCTTTGCCATATCAGCGGATTAGACCGCCAAACATAGCAACATATTGTTCTATTACGGCACCTTGGCCGTAGTCCTCTCGCAAAGCCTCTTCACACCTGCACCGTGGCGCTGAATGTATGGCCGAGCGACTCCCGCTCAGCTGAAAAACATAATACAATGCCTTGCCCCGCCAGGTAAGCTGGCCAATGTGCGGTGTGCAGGTCCACGGTAATTGGCTCAGTGCGGCTAAATCATCAAAGCGTGGTGTCGACCACAGGTCAACGATTTTCTGAAAGCTGCGAAGGAGCAGAGTAAATGGTACAAGAGCAACAACATCGTCATGACAATGGGCAGCGATTTCCAGTATCAGGACGCTCACGTTTGGTATAAAAACCTTGACAAGCTGATCAAGTGAGTGCATTGCTCTCTGTATCAGTGGAGTGATTTTGAGACGTCCGTAAGACCCTGCATAAGCTTGTTCAGACGCGCATGTGCGCAATGGTCTGTGCATGGGTTGCGCAGTGCCCTGGTTCTTCTGGATGCTTTCCGCGCACGGCCTCTGATTACGGGCAGCCCGCTGTAGTGATTCTTAACCACTGGCAACTGGATTGTTCAAAGCGCTCATAACACATCACTGATGCGCACCTTTGATGTCAGCGCATGCGCTGCAGTACTTGCACTAAACTACATCAGGGGGGGGGGGGGGGTATTAGCTGAGTGGTTACAACCCAGGGCTCCTTCGCGGAAGGTCCGGGTTCGAATCCTGCTAGCGTCATGGTCCCGGCTCCATTATATAACCATGGTAGTCGCTGGTGCCCCATAGAAGGGTCCACGACGACGTGCGTCCTGTCCCCTTTCTTAAAATAGGCGTCATTGCCAAGCTGCCCTCAGCTGTAACGTAGGCACCATGGTCAGCTATCGCAATGTGCAAAGGTAGCCAACGATCGAATCGAAACCAAGCTCGTATCGTGCTGTCGGCGGGCGAAGCGCACTTATTGACGGTCCTACTGGGCTACCTTGCACGCAGCAGCGTAAGGTCCTAAGGCCAGGAACAGGTCACGATAGCACACACGCAGCAGGATAAGGTCACGATTTCACGCGGTGGACGCGCCTGGCTGAAGAGCCCGCTAGGAGTTTGTTACTCAGGGGCATGTTCTCACGCTCAGACTGGCCCTTTGCCCTCCCACCGCTCTTCAGGTGAGGTCACAGCCTCATAAGGGTCGTACCCCTGGTGGCGCAATCTCTTTTTGGGGGTGCAGATGTTGTCTATAGGTAGGCCGTACCAATTCAGGGTAGCTGGGCCTTTCCGTCCTCTCGCGAGCATGATGCGCTAATACAGCAGCGTAGGGCTTCTGCGCTTATGGCCGTCCCCTCGCGAGCATGATGCGCTAATGCAGCAGCGTAGGGCTTCTGCGCTTCTGGCCAAATGTCAAGACCGAGAGCTCTTTTGCTGGCACCGCTGTAGGCCTGTTGGCGGTGATCTGCGAGCATGCTCCAAGCTGGAACCTCGTCCTCACGCCGAGCGCGGCTCCAGGGAGACTTGGCAGGATGATAGCTTGTTAAACACATACTTATGGCAATGAAGGTATAACGTAGACCGCTAAACTACTGTGGTTGTTTTTGTCAGTTCAGTGCAGGGAAGTGCTGTGGCAGGATGATAGCTTGTTGAAGACATACTTATGACAATGAAGGCATAAAGTACACCACTAAAATATCGTATTTTTGTCAGGTCAATGCAAAGAATTGCTGTAAGCTGGTTGGTTCACCTGGGTTAATTTTTCATGCTTTCTTTGTTTACTTTCAATAAATTGTACAGGCCATGTCATAGCATGACGACGTTCTTGGCGAAAAACTGCGAATTCAGTATGGTTGCGTTCTGTTTTTTTCATCACTAATTCATTTCTAGCATCACAGGTGAATTAATCTCCTATGTCGTGCACCATCCGAAGTGTTCAGTGGTGAGACGTGGTCCTGTTCTCCAGGTACGTGAACGCCCGCCAAAGCGGCGGTGAGAAGGTCAACGTGTTCTACTCCACGCCTTCCTGCTACCTCAAGTCCCTGCACGACGCCAAACTGGTCTGGCCCACCGTCGAGGTATGAATGCCACTCAAATGATATTTGCAATGGGATTCTTGCATGGGAACCTTCTGTATTGTCGTTATTATTATTGTTACTGTTGTTCTTGTTATCCTATCATGAGATGATCACGGGGCGATAGCGTTGTGGTAAACGCGCGTGCGTTAACCACTGCGACTCTGGGAAACCAGAGGTGCAGGGTTCGATTCCCCACTGTGCCCGCCCTTCCTGCCAGGGTGAGAGGCAGGCGACGCCATATAGCCTCAGCAAACGAGTGCGTCGTGGAACCCCGATGACAACACGAAATCATCATTATTATGAGGATTATGAACAGTGCTATTGTTTCCGCTATTGTTATTAGCATTATTCGTATTACTAATACACTTATTGTTATTGTTATTACTTGTAGTATACGTAGTATTTTTGTTGTTCGTGTTCCTGCTCAAGCAGTTCAGTTTCAGCTGTGGTTTCAGCGGCTTCTTCTCGTCATCCCAATGATTCAACACTCCTCACTGCCAAAGCAGTTAGACATGACCGAACACTGGTGCTGTCGTTTATTTGTACCTGAAAAACGTACAAAAGCGTTAGTTACCAGATCTCAGGTGTGCCTGAGAAACGAACCAAAGCGTTAGCTGCCAGATCTCAGGTATTATATTGTGCATCATGTAAATAAGCTTTGGGCGTATTCTGTGCGTCCGGACCAGAAGACGAAGATGCGTCCAACGTGAGAGGTTTTTCACGCACAGTTATCAGCCTCATAGTAATTAGTCCCGACCCACAGGAAAACGTTTGCCTCTTTCTACCGTGAATCACGTGTGCCAATCGAGCTCCTCAAATCTCGGCGCTGTCTGTCTGCATTGATGTAATCCCAAAGTTTCGCTCACTTGAGTGATGATCCGCGGATCCGTATCCGATGCAACATGACGTCCTTGACACGCTCCAGGACGACTTCATGCCGTACGCCAGCGATCCGTGGGCCTACTGGAGTGGGTACTTCACCTCCAGGCCTGCGCAGAAGGGCTACATCCGCAAGTCGAACAACTTCCTCCAGGTACGTCACCACGCCTACGTCATCTTCAGGTGGCAGGGTGCCGGAGTGGTTGTGCGCCTTAAAAACAGGAATGTTTTATTATTCATTGATAAGATTATTTATATTTCACTATTATGAGATAAGGATTCAGCCCACAAGAACTGCGGTAGATTGATGCGGGCGTGTTTGATGACCGCGGTAAGTCGTGCCAACTCGGTATTACTTGCTGAGCATGCGTGCACTGACGAATAAAACATCTTACACATCCGACATACAAGAGACTATATTTTTTCGATGGGCACCGTGACTGAAGTGATACCCGCCAGACTCATCTTCATTCATGCTGGTATACTTCGCCTGCCTCATATCCATAATGACACGAGCAGACCGTGACGTTGCTGCTCATGTCCTTTCCAAAGGTGTGCAAGCAGCTGACGGCGATGATGCAGACCGAGAGGACGTACGAGACTCCCAACCGGGTGGACTATCTGCGCTACGCTATGGGCGTCAACCAGCACCACGACGCCGTCACAGGTGAAGGAGGCCGGGAAGGGACCCGTGTCAGACGCTGGCGAGTCTGTGGGGACTTAGTGTGGCTCCCTTCGGTTTGTTAGCTGACAGGGGGAGAGGAATGCCTTGGGCGATGAAAGAAGGAAAAACTCCGGGGGGAGAACCTTCGCGTTCAGAGAAAGCTAGTGTTTCTTGATAGGGTGTTCGCAATATCCTGTGATCGCAGTTGTGTTCTATTTCCAATACGAATTAGCCTCTCTTGTATATGTTCTGTTATGGCACTAAAGCGCTGGAAACGTTTGTAATTGATAAACAACTGCGGCGAGGAGGGAACGCTGTTGATGGGCTGCAGACAAACCTCATATGCTTCTGTTCCCACTCACTCAGCTGCATTAATGAGATCGATCAAAACCGTTGCTCAGCTGGCACTGCCTGGTCACGACGTGATGACCTTGTTTGACCTCGAAAGCACGTGACGTTGACAATGCCGGTAATCGCGGTGACATCGTTGCAGGCACTGAGAAACAGCACGTAGCCAATGACTACATCCAGCGCCTGAGCGAAGCCACCGACTCCTGCCAGGGCGCCGTCAATGACGCGCTGACGTGAGTGACGTCATAATACCCAGTGTGACGTCATCGCGCCACTTACTGCCGCGATGCTTAGCGATGCTGAACTGGGCACAGCTTATCATTGAAGGAGACTTCGCACTCGGCTCTTTGCTCTTCGCGCTGTATATTTTTTTTTTAAGTTGGATACTCGTCTGAACACACGACATGTTCAGTGCACGGTCCACTTGCCCGCATCCAGTTCTGCCGTGCTTGATTATTCTTAGCCCGTCAGTAGAGCGAAGGGCCTTCAGCATAACCCCTCTCAAACCCCTTCTGCCCGCAGCCGGGCGGGCCTGCCGGTGCAGACGTTCTGCAATCATCTGAACACGTCGGTGTGTCACGTGACCGAGCAGAGCGGCAAGTTCGTGGCGTACGTGTACAACCCGTTGTCACGGAGCGTCAGTCCTTGGGTTCGAATCCCGGTGGCCGGGGATGCCTACACCATTCTGGATCCGGAAGGTAGGTCAGCACCTGGACAGTCGCTGCTTTGGTTTGAGGACTAGCAACCGATGGCTGCACAGAAGGTATCACTCTGAGATGAGAGTCCGTGCTCTGGCAGCCGTGCACCCGCATTATACCGTGAGATGCCGGTTAAGCGACGTTGTCAGGCGAACATTGCTCACATCATCTATGCTCAAAACTTCATGCTTATTACTAAGACCACCGACCGTGAATGGCTGCGCCTGAGCAGGGAGTGTCTGCCCAGCCACTAGCATGACTCTAAACTCATAATGGCAAAACACTAGGAGCTTAAAGCATTTCTTGTTGATATCGAGGTCTCATTCGTTACAGCACTGAGAGCTCCGTGCTTTGCAGCGTTGCAGGGCAGGCTGCTGGGCTTCGTTTGCACATTGCCACGCTGTCCTCTGAGAGATCGTTGATTTGCGTCTTAACACATTCCCATCAGTGCTGTGAATGTCTCGTCGCTCGCAGCAATAACACCAATGCGTTTCGAGCTTGATACTTAGTGGAAGTCATCCACCAAGTCACTGTAAAGCAGTCGTCAAAAGAGCTTGTTCGCTCGGCCGTACGGCACATCGTTTCGCTGCTGTCCCGCTGTCTGCCGCAGCCCTTCCCCCCCCCCCCCCTCTAACACCGCCGGGTGCGTCACAGGTCAGGCCGTGGCCTCCCAGCTGAGCCCCATCCCGGCCGAGGTGCTGTCTCTACCGGGTAGGAACTCCTCGGCCGTTGCCGAGCTGGTGTTCCAGGCCTCTGACCTGCCGCCACTCGGCTTCAAGTGAGCCCCCGCTCCCGGTGTTGGAGCAGCGGACTGCGGCTTTGGACATGCCCGTTACGCGTGCTTTCGCAGTCGCTGTGGTTGGTTATCATCATCAGTTGCCCGGGCTCACAGTCCCTGACTTTGAAGATGCCCCGCAGCTACGGACTGGCCTGCCTCTGGCATTGGTCGGCTATGGACATGCTAGACTGGCAGTGCTCAGAATGGGCTTCTATCGACCATCCGCATTGGTCCTGTTCGTCGGCTGTGAACTGTTTACTGGCCTGAGGCTCAGACCAAGTTTTCCCGAATCCGATAGTTCGCTTAAGTCATCACGTCGGTGCTGACGAGTGTTGATGGACTGCTTCACTTTCTGGGCTACCCAGCGATCGTAAGTAACAACCCAAGCTATGAGACCTTCCAAATGGTCACCAGCGTAGTTATTGACTGTCTCATCATCTCAGGCGTCTCCGCTGACGTCACTGGTCACGTGACCAGGCTCACGCCCCTCGCCTGACCGCCAGGGGGTACTTCATCCAGCCAGCCCCGGGTGCTGCCACCTCTCAGGTGTCCACTGAGCGGCCCGGCCTGCAGAGCCTCTCCAATGGTCACGTGACCCTTGACCTTGACCCGGAGACCCTTCGGCTGGGCAGAGTTCGCGCCGGGAAGGCTGACATTCAGGTTGGTCTGGCGTGTGATGGCGTGTAGCGTGTTCGCACATGTCGGGCTCCGTACAAAAAGTCAAATATTTGTATACGGTAAATAGGACGATCGTTGAGTTAAAAGTGAATCCGGTTCAGATATTTTCGAATTCAACATAATCTTGGGCACATGCACTTTTGCCTTTCTAACGGCTTGTGCGTTTTTCATCCGCGTCATCTTCTGCTGCGTCGTGCATCCAGTGGTTTTCCTAATCCGCGTAACCAGCCTTCATAAGTGGCTGGCGCCGTTTTCAGATAAACCAAACCTTCATGTGGTATGAAGGCTACGGAAACGCCAGTGGGTCCAAGTGGGAGCGTCCACAGAGGCCCACGGGCGCTTACATCTTCAACCCCAAGGGCGAGGCTCAAGTGATCGAGGCCAAGGTTAGCTCACCACCTCTCGGTAACTGGTGACCTAGCTCAGCAGACCTCGGTTACTGGTGACCTAGCTCAGCAGGTCTCGGTAACTGGCGACCGAGCTCACCACCTCTCAATAACTGATGACCTAGCTCAGCAGGTCTCGGTTGCTGGTAACCTTGCTTAGCAGCTCCCAGTAACTGGGTGACCTAGCTCAGCAGGCCTCGGTTACTGGTGACCTAGCTCAGCAGGTCTCGGTAACTGGTGACCTAGCTCAGCAGGTCTCGGTTGCTAGTGACCTAGCTCAGCAGATCTCGGTAACTGGTGAACTAGATCAGCAGGTCTCGGTAACTGGTGACCTAGCTCAGGAATTCTCGGTAATCGGTGACCTAGCTCAGCAAATCTCGGTTACTGGGGGACCTAGCTCACCAGCTCTTGGTAACTGGTGACCTAGCTCAGCAGATCCCGGTAACTGGTGGCCTAGCTCAGCAGGTCGCGGTAACTTGGTGACCTAGCTCAGCGGGCATCGGTAAGCTGGTGACCTAGCCCAGCAGGTCTATTTAACTGGTGACCTAGATCAGCAGGTCTCGGTTACTGGTGACCAAGCTCAGTAGGTCTCGGTAACTGGTGCCCAAAAAAGCTGGCAGCGTTAGCTGCCCAAGGGTTAGCTGCCCAAATCGCCATCGCATCGGGAGGGTTTTGCTTGGGCTGTTAAAGAAATGTAATGTTTCGCTGTTTTGCGACGTTTTTTTAGTCATCGATTTTTTTTCGAACTTTGCAGACTGGTTTTCCCCATTTGTCTGAGTGAGATAGTTGTGTCACAGTCATTGGATTGATGCAAAAAGGCCTTTTCGAAACACTTTTCATGAGGACATATCGTTACTAAAGGCTTTGGCCTTGATGGCAACGAAATACGGATGGAGGTAAAATGTGAACACTTTAATGAGCATGTCCTTGACATCTTACATATTTTTACTTTGTGCGCACATACTCGTCCAAACTTGACTCCTGTCTGCGTTTGTCAGCCCAGTTTTCGAGCCCTTGTCAGCCCAGTTTTCGAGCCCCGTCTCGCCGATCCTGTGACCACGGAGCCCGCCACCGACCTGACCTTGACCTTGTGCTTCCAGTCGGTGGTGACGCTGGACGGAGCTCTGGTGAAGGAGTACCGACACACGTTCGACATGGACTGGGTCTCCCAGGTGACCCGGCTCTACAAAGACGAGCCCTTCGCTGAGGTCGAGTGGATGGTCGGGCCCATTCCCACCGAGTGAGTCGGCGGCACCTGCGCGACGGTGTTGGTCCGTTGTGACTTCAACATTTGTAGTTTTCACGGAATTCTTGAGACGAGGCATTAGTAGCGCGGATGAAATACGTGCTCTGGCTGTGTCCTTGCCTGGTATGGTGGTATGTACGTAATGTTTCGATCAGTTGATTTTCGGCCGCCGTCAGGTGTCAGCATCCGACGACGGTCGGAGACCTGTCTAGCAGCAATGTTTCCGGCCGCCGATAGGTGTCAGCACCCGACGACGGTCGGAGAACTGCCTGGCTGCAATGTTGTGTCACATACGAGGGCTCTAGACGATAATAATAGTGCGCACAATTATTATATTCGTGATCAAAATCAAAATCATTGCTATTTCCTAGCCGCAAATTATAATTTATTTTATGTGTTTGTGGCGGAGATAATTTGAATCACGTCCTGAACCAGGCCAAAACTGCGTGCCTTGCCTTGATCGAACCCTTGGTCCAAGCGGTCTTGAACGCGATGATGCTGGGTAGTTTTGTATTAGGCGCTGAGTCTCCGTAGCTCGGCAAAATGTTCCATTTTGGGAACGACACAAGGCAACATGTGCTGGAGGTTTTATAGTAGTTTACACAGTGCGTACTGCCGGACCTCCGAGGGAACCATTACTTGTAGGGACAAACCCAACAAAGCAGTACTTCGGAGGATTCACCACCACGCCCGTTACTTCAGTGCACACTCGCTACTGAGGCATTTTGTCTGCCTCGAAGCAGTGCACCATGTGAACCAGTCCCGGTCGAAATGGCGCGTTCATTATTTTCATCACCAGGGACGGCGTGGCCAAGGAGGTGATCAGCCGCTTCAGCAGCGCTATCAACTCCACTGACACCTTCTACACAGACTCCAACGGACGCCAGATGATGAAGCGTAAGCGTACACAGCTGACGAATATATATATATATATATATATATATATATATATATATATATATATATATAGCAGACACGGAAACGGAACACTACTCTCAAAGCAATAAATATCTCAATTAAGCTGTTTCCGGATCCGTCATTTAGCGTTTGTATTCATGTAGAAAACTAACATCAAGTTAGGTCTCGCGTGATAACGGTGAGATATGAATGTTGCGCGTCACACTTCGTGGCTGCACGTGGGCAGAGCTTGGGCTGTTGGGGCCGTGGAGTCAAGCACTCATGAACTACATCCTGAATGTCCGCGGAGTGCTCAGCATTGTGAGTCACATACTGACTTGGTGAACTGGTGGTGATGGACAGGACTGGACTGGACTGGACTGGACTGGACTGGGCTGGACTGATTGATGATACACCGATGACTTCCTCATATGAATTGTGTAGTGACTTTTTATTGTTTTTGCCAATTAATCGACGCATGTGACCTCTTTGTTTACTACCGTAAGGTCAGCTTTTCATACCGGTTGTCACGAAATATGGAGTGCAAAAGTCCTGCAGTGCACGGGTCTCGAACCAGGTTTCGGTAGTCCCGTGTGTGAAGTTCTGCCGATTGCAACGCTTGGTATGACTCCAGGTCGTCGCAACCACCGTGACACGTGGACCCTGAACGTCACGGAGCCGGTGGCCGGAAACTACTTCCCGGTTAATTCTCGTATCTTCATCAAAGACGCCGACAGCCAGCTGACCGTACTCACCGATCGATCGCAAGGTGGCAGCAGTCTCGCCAGTGGCCAGCTGGAACTGATGGTATGTGGCGCCACGGTCGGGCCGCGCGCTCGATGGGTAGCACTCGCAAGGCACGGAACGGCGTATTGTGCGAAGGAAGAAATAAACAACGCGGAAGTTATGAGAATTTTGCGGTACGTTTCTGATCTACACGTATTTGTTTATCGTATTCGTTGCATTGGCTGTTGCTTGGGCCCCGACAAGGTAGCTTTATTATTTTGGGACATACTTAATAACACGTCGGTATAATGAATCCACCAACATCAAAAATTAAACTAGCGGTGTTCAGATTCTGATATCTAAAGCGATTTCGTAGCTTCCTGGTTGTTTCCAAATGCTATGAATATTAGCTCGATATTCGCCAAGCACTAAACAAATGTTCTTGCAATGTTTATCGCGCATGCACATAACCGGTAGTCAGCGCTCTCCGTGTTGTATCGTGAGGCGCTGTCTGGCGACTGGCAGCACGGCTATAGTTCAGCTGCTGGCCGCTAGATGAAGTAGTCTCCGTGGCCTGGCCGCGCCACGCGGGGGCGCGAGCGGGCTCGGTCAGGGCAGGGATGTGTGCACTTATTTTCTGTCGTTTCCCCTGAGAATACAGTGGAAACGTTATCGGTGACTCCTGCCCTACGGTGGTGTGAAACTCCCAGCAGGTGATCGATATTCGCCATGCTCACTCATCACTGTGCGATATACGCTTAGTAAATGCGCCTGATAACTCTTTCAGCAATATCTCACATGTTCATATACAGGCACTCACTGCTTAAGCACAGCCCAATCCCTGCCCACCCATAAAACGTAACAGTTATTCAGTAGTCAGTCGGAAGTGACCACTGACTCACCCTTGACCCATGGCTGACGCGTTACCTCCTCTGCCAGCTGCACCGCCGCACGGTGCAGGACGACGCGTTCGGCGTGGGCGAGCCGCTGAACGAGACCGAGTTCGGCGTGGGTCTGGTGGTGCGCGGTCGTCACTGGGTGGTGGTCAGTGACCCGGCCGACGCTCCCAAGCTGCACCGTGACCTCGCAGAACAGATGTTCATGGCGCCCCAGCTGAGCTTCGCCGCCGCCGACTTCATGACGCCGGAGATGTGGAGCAGCGCCAAGGTGATCAAGCAGGTAAGCAAGCGGCTGGTCTTATGAGAACGGATGGGGCTCGCTCATCACGCACCAGTGCCGACGCCCCGCTCGGTTGCGGTCCCTGCCGCATGCTGGGGCGGGCCGTGTGATGGCTTGCCAGGGCGAGCCGAGCGCGTGGTGCGAGCGCGTGGAGCGAGCGGCGAAATCCCCGCAGGATTCCTGCCGAACAAGAACCTCATGTCACTCCGATCCTTGCTGCGCAATGTGGCTAGTGTGCCGGACATCACAGTATGCTGTCAATGTGGCTAGTGTGCCGGACATCGCAGTATAGTGTCAATGTGGCTAGTGTGCCGGACATCACAGTATGCTGTCAATATGGCTAGTGTGCCGGACATCACAGTATGCTGTCAATGATGTGATGTCCATGCTATGTACAATTCACGATAAGTGAAACGACCAGCCAACGCCCTGTGTGCAGCAGTTCACAGGCATGGTGGGCTAGTGTCTCCAGTTTAGTTCCAGCTCTGCGTGCCGCAGTTCACAGGCGTGGCGGGCTAGTGTCTCCAGTTTAGTTCCAGCTCTGTGTGCTACAGTTCACAGGCATGCAGCCGCTGCCTGCCAACGTGCACCTGCTGACGCTGGAGATGTACAAACCGAACCAGCTGCTGATCCGACTGGAGCACCAATTCCAGGCCGACGAGGATCCCACGCTCAGCAAACCTGTCGACGTTAACCTCAAGGTCAGCTGAGGCGTGGCAACACACACCCGTGTCGGTCGCAATCCTTTCCGAGAACATCGTTTGTATTGTGTGGGTTTTACGCATGCAAAACAGGATTACACGATCCAGCAGTATTTCCATGTGCGAAACCCTTTGAATGGTGCTGGAATGGATTTTTGATATGTATTCAGGTTCCCATGCGCATTGTTCGGTCTCGCAGTGATAACTTACTTGCAGAGACTCGCTTGAAACATGATAGCAGTTGGCATGTTTAAAGCATTCCGCAATAGTTTTTTTCATTTCTGTCTTCTTCCGTGTAATTCATGTCATTCCTGTCATGCAGTTTTGTGACAGAAGCCTGGTGAAGTGAGGTGGATGAAATTCTACGTAATCTATCCCATAACAAGTCAACGTGAAATACAGTCGGTTTCCAACACGCACCGCAGGACCTGTTCACCACGCTGAACGTGACGTCAGTGGAGGAGTTCGGCTTGTCGGCGGACCGCCCCTTGAAGGACATCAACCGCCTCCACTGGGACCACGTGCAGTCCAACCGGCTGCCCAAGAACTTCCGGGGCGCCGCGCACGAGGTGTACCGCAGCACCGGCGCCGAGCACGACCCGCTCACGGTGCGTGGCTGATCAGGCTGCTACCGCTGTTACTGCTGTTAGTGCTGCCACTGCTGCTACTGCTGTTACTCCTGGACCGACGACCGTGTGAGCGGCGGCCTCAGATGTGGTCGGGGCTGCTGCTCGTTCCAAGGCAAACCGTGTGAGAGCTGGCGTGGCAAGACAGCAGGGGAGCTGGCAAGTGACAGCGACCAATACCTCGATACTGACATGCGCATGCACAATTGTCCACCGTAAGATAGTTTGTGAGTTGCTCTCACCGTAAGGTAGCTTGTGAGTTGCCTCAACCGTAACGTAGTTTATCAGTTCCCTAAAGATATTTCTAGCATGCCCTTCTTCATGATAACCCAACGGAAGACGACGCGAGTAGTGCTGAAGGTAAGTTTAATGGCGACAACAAAGCAGATCTGTTAATTTTGGTGACGTTTCATGTTTGACAGGTGACCCTGAACCCGATGGAGATCAGGACGTTCGTGGCGTCATACCAGAGCCCGTACCCGCTGCCGACCCCACCGGCCCAGCCTACCGAGTAACCTGAGGCCACGTCCCCGTGAGGGGTGACCTCAGCCGAGGTCAGGGGGTCACCGCTGCTGTGCAGGTAGTCCCACGCGTGTGTATACGTGTGTGCGTGTAGTCACGCCTGGTTTCTGTGTGTACCGCTGTAGATATTTTCAGCTTTTGCGACGATTCGTTCGCCCGCGCTAATGGTGAATCTGACGTGTGGTGGAAGTGGTGGAAACTGGGCGGAGATGCGCTGAACCCTAATTGGGCGCCGAATGCCGAAGTTCTATTGGTGTCTTGGCAAACCGGGCCGCATTCCCAGAGTGGCCCAGTCAGAGAAGTGTTGCGGTGTTTTATCGCGGATCTTGGCACTCTTCAGCGTGGGGGAAAGCGATATATCCAACAATGCGCCGAATGTAGGCAATGTTTCGTTGCTTTGAAATAAACGCGAGAAAATGCTACGATCAAACCAATGAGACTGCGAGAAGAAATGCATATGACAGAGGAATCTGATACACCATGCGCAACATTAAAAATAGGAGATCAGCAAGGAGGGAGAAGCCACTAAATCAGGATGAAACCGCCAATGCTTGATGTCACCAGGGTGCGCTGAAATCCCTTGAAGTCCTGCGCCCTCCTGCCTTGTTTGCGAGAAGAGAAATATCATGAGCTCGTGCTAAGCCGGTGTGCTGATTTTGAGAAAACTCATGCTATTAGAGCGAGGGATAGGACGAACGAAATCACCATCAGTCGCAGAACTCAGATTCATCGCAAGCTATTTGGCAATCAAAGGCGTACCTCTGAACCCTGCCTCCTCCATTGCCCTGAATGTACTTCCTCATGCAGCATTATAACGTTTCCGAATATGACCCGACCCCGCCCCTGCGCACGGCCTTGTCAATGGAATGCACGAGAGGAGACCGCCACTGCGGTTCCGAGCGGGCCGCTGAACACGAGCCTCAAACCTCAGCTGAGAGTCCCGTGTCTTGACAAACCGCTGCTAGAGCAACCGCCTGTCACGTGCGGGCCGTCACGTCCCCCCCTTCCCCCTCCCCCCTCCCCCCCCCCCCGCCATCTGTGCATGCCTGTGATGAAGCACGCGAACAGCTCATCATGGTCTCCTGACATGGTGCGAGCGCCCGCGCGTTGACAGAAAGCTCGCGCCAGGTCAAGGTCGATGGCTGCCCTCGCGGTAATTCCAGAGCATGTGGAGGGGCGGTGGCGAGTATGGGCACCACCACAACACACACCACACACACACACCACCCACACACACACACACACACCACACACACACACACCACACACACACACACACCCACACACACACACACACACACACACACACACCACACACACCACACACACACACACACACCAAACACACACACACACACACACACACCACACACACACACACACACACACACGCACGCACGCACGCACGCACGCACGCACGCACGCACGCACGCACGCACGCACGCACGCACGCACGCACGCACGCACGCACGCACGCACGCACGCACACACACACACACACACACACACACACACACACTACCACACACACACACACACACACACACACACACACACACACACACACAACACACACAAACACACGCACGCACGCACGCACGCACGCACGCACGCACGCACGCACGCACGCACGCACGCACGCACGCACGCACGCACGCAACGCACACACACACACACACACACACGCACGCACGCACGCACGCACGCACGCACGCACGCACGCACGCACGCACGCACGCACGCACGCACACACACAACACACACACACACACACACACACACACACACACACACACACACACACCCACAACAACACACACACACCCACACCACACACACACACACACACACACAACGCACGCACGCACGCACGCACGCACGCACGCACGCCACGCACGCACGCACGCACGCACGCACGCACGCACGCACGCACGCACGCACGCACGCACGCACGCACGCAACGCACGCACGCACGCACGCACGCACGCACGCACGCACGCACGCACGCACGCACGCACGCACGCACGCACGCACGCACGCACGCACGCACGCACGCACGCACGCACGCACGCACGCACGCACGCACGCACGCACGCACGCACGCACGCACGCACGCACGCACGCACGCAACGCACGCACGCACGCACGCACGCACGCACACACACACACACACACACACACACACACACACACACACACACACACACACACACACACACACACACACACACACACCTGAACGTCATCCCGAGCTCAGTCCAACCGCAGCTCCGTCATGTCTCGAGCAGTCGTCTTCGGCCTCACGCTGGCCCTCCCGGGGCCCGTTCCCCCCTGCCTTACGCACGTCACGCTGCCGGTAAGTGCATCACAACAGCTTCCACGTCTTGGAGTACATTCGCTTGTGTGTGGCAAAGCCACCTGTGATGTCGTAGGGAACTACCCCAGGTAGGCACTTTGTCAGCGGAGAGCTTAGCCCTGGCGGTTGTCTGTCTGGCGCAGACGACAGACCAGGACCGATTCACCGACATCGGTCCCGGCTACGGCTTCGGGTAGGCGGGTTATGGCGACCCTATGTTGTGCGACGGTTATGCCGGCAGGCTATGGCGGCTCTGGCTTCGGAGGCTGCGGCTACTTGGCGGGAGGATGTAGAAACAGCCCTGTATGTGTGTATGCAACTGAGGCCGTGGGATTGAAATTCGGACACGCTCTGATTAAACGAAACTTAATTTAAATATTAATTTAATTATTTTTTTCAATTAAAAACACAAATTTTAAAATTAAAGATAAAAAGTTTAAAAAATAAAAGTCTCCAGAGCCTGTTTTGAGATCAAGCTCCATCTGTGGGATTTAAAGAAGTTGTTTGAAAACCATCAACTGATTACGAATTCTATAGCACGTTAGATGTATTGGCCGATCCAATCAGTTTAAGTTCGCAAGTGAGCTGTTGGAGCTGTGGCGAGCTAAGAAATGTGCGGATGAGTTCGTCTCGCATGCCTGTTCTTAGTCAATGTTCTGTATTGCTGCATGATTCGCTGCACGACAAGAACGATCAGACTTAAAAGCAATGCTGAATATTTTTATCAGTGCCTTTTTCAACTCGGGTGACTTCTTTTGTTCGATTCTCGATGGCTCACTGCCGCTCAAGACGCAAGTTTGCTTTTGCAGGCAACGTCCTGTGAAGCACTGCAGAGGCTGCTTCCTTTTAATACCGACACCTATATAGAGGTGTTCGTTATCATCAGCTGACGAATTTAGCAGGCGTGCATTGAACGTCAGCTTCAATTTCGCTGTCAGCTTGTAAGCATTGTTGTAACAAGCTTGTTGTAACAATGACAGCTTAGCTAGCAGTGTCCCTGGTTTACTCGTGCGGCTTGCTGTCAGGTCACGGAGCCGATCTGCCCATGAGCTCTTTCATAAAGGCTTTTGCCAAATATTGCAAGGCTGTCAAATCGTCAGATGTTTTAATAAAGCATGAAACGATATTTCCCAGCACCTGCAGCAACCAACCAAATTCAACATTGCCTATTTACTTAAGCAAAGCTTACGATGAATATATGGCAACTAGCTGCTATCTAAGCAGCATATGCTTTTCTGTCGTCGTGACAACATCTACAAGTCGAGCATTTCATTACACGAGAATGCCGTACGGAGAGCTCCAAGCCATTCTTTACCAGCAAACCAAAGGGATTTACTGGCTGCTAATCGATAACACAATGATGTACGTCACAGCAAGTCAGGCGGTGGTTGTGTACCAAACATTCCCACGTCACTTGGTGTATGACGTCACCGGCGTGTGACGCCACTCGGTGCGTGATATAAATACGCGCCGTTTCAGCAGCGTTTTTGCAAATGCCAGAACTATCAACGCTCACACCGTCGGCTGGAAGACTGACCATTGTCAGACAGTAGTCCCAGCCTCACGACGTCTGGAGTGCCGCATCGCCCTGTTTTAAGCGGTAATTTAGGTGTTTAGATGCCACCGATGAATGTGACTAACGTCGGTTCATATTTTTAACTTCATGCCCTTTGGTCTAATAGAGACGGTGTCAGTATTTGCACCATGTCGGAACTTTCGGGGGCCAGGCAGAGTTCTCGGCTAGAGAGCGGGGTCATGCTAAGAATGCAGCAAATTCGTATCAATTCTGCCAGGCATGTAACAACGTGTGCACGTAGCAGCTGAAAGTGCACTCAACACTTGCTAGAGTACAGAGCTGGACTGTACTTTCCATCAAATATTATGTGAAATACCAAAGGTAGTTTTGTCAAAATTGCATTAGCATATTCGAAAAGTTCAGAGGGAGAAAGAAATTCAGTGCAACGCCCCTCTTAATTACGCCCCTCCTCTCGGTCGGAACTAAAGCCACACCCATAGCAGCGCACCCAACTGCTAACTCTCCCAAACTCAACACACGTACTCAACGCGACGGCAGTATGGTAGTACTCAAGCATTCTACTAATGACATAGTCTTCAAGAGATTACCGTTTCGGCGAGATGTCAAAGGATGCGAAGCGTCCTTTAGACATTAGGAGGAAGCATTAGGCGAAAACGGAAGGGGAATAGGACAGGACAACCTGGTAGCAATACTTGAATGTTTTTCCCATTTGAAGGGCAGGCATATCAAGTGAACGGAGAATGATTTTCGTCGATGGCATCCAACATGTGAATGGTCGCTTCCACTCGATGAACGATGCATGACATGCAGTAGTCATAGGCTTGCAAATGAACCATTAGCTCGAACCAAGCGATACCCTTCTCCTCGCTAGAGAATGTGCAATATGCATGCGTTCCTTTTAGGTACGAGCACGTGCTAGTAGATTAAGGCGGTGCAATTCCGCGATTCCGTTTGTCCACATTTGTCAAAATGCTCCGAGCGTTTGCAATGTTGTGCTGTTCAACGCAATCTGGATGCAACCAACCCAATATATTCCCGCGCAATGGCCATTTGATAACAAGCAAGGGGTCCTTCGTTTTGTCTCAGGCAGGTCAGCATAGCCGTGACCAAGACGAGGCTGGCCCGCTTCGAGAAGCGTGTTTGTGCTGAGTAATTACACCGTGGAGTGGAACACTACTGAAGCCTGCCAACCTCTGTTTGAACTGTGAATACAGTTACCCATTGTGCGACGTCGCGATGCTTCTGTTTGACAACGGGGCTTCCCACTGGCGTCTCTCATGAAGTGTTCTGTCTTAAGGGCGACAGCATTGGTGGTGCAGTGTCTTCTTGAACAGGGCCAACGCTTACGGCAGCTTGTGGAGGCAAAACATGACTGTGATGGAACGAAGCCAGTTGAGCCAATTTTACAGCTTTGTATTGTTGACGCATCACCGTATACGATTACCACTTGACACACAACACGTCAGCATTCGTGGACGATGGCACTGACTGTAGGTCAAGCATCGATCTTCAGAACAAGCGTACAATGT